GGAACTCTTGTGCTGAACATTTTGAATCCAAAACAGTCCAGTGGCACCTTTAAGGCCAAGTTTTATTCAGGTACAAGCTCTCCCTCCTCTGCTAGGGAAGATCTGCGCATCCCCCCCCCCAATAGCCCACAGCTAGCAATCCAAAACAGTCCAGTGGAGCCTGAGCAGTGGGTGTTGCCTTCTGACACATTTCCGGTGACGTCAGGGGGTGTTTCAGGTGCAAATAAGTTATGCTAATGAGTTATGCTAATGAGCTCCTGCACCTCTTTTTCTACGAAATGACCCCTTTATATATATATTGCTTACTTCTTAGGATGGCGCTGTAGGTTGAGAGGGGGTATGAAGCTAAACCCAGGAACCTCCATGGCTGGGAGAGGTTGTGGTCTAAGCACAGGTATACCTGGGGCTAATCTGACATGCTGTGACCAATATACCAGGGGATGTAATGATGGCCACAAGAATAAACAGCTTCAAAAGGGAATTAGATAGATTTGTGGAGGAACTGAGAGCCGGTTTGGTGTAGTGGTTAAGAGTGCGAACTCTAATCTGGGAGAACCGGGTTTGATCCTCCACTCCTCCCCATGCAGCTGCTGGTGTGACCTTGGGTCAGTCATAAGTTCTTTCAGAGCTGTTCTCTCAAGGGCAGTTCTTGAGAGAGCTCTCTCAGCGCCACCTACCTCACAGGGTGTCTGTTGTGGGGAGGGGAAGGGAAAGGAGTTTGTAAGCCACTCTGAGACTTCTTCGGGTAGTGAAGGGCGGGGTATGAATCCAACCTCTCCTCTCTGTGTCTATCAATGGCTACTAGCTATGGTGGCTGAGGGGCACCTTCAGAGGCACTGAACCTCTGAATCCCAGAGCCAGGAGGCAACATCAGGGGAAGGCCTCAGCCTCTATGCCCTCGTGTTGGCTCTCCAGGGGAACTGGTTGGCCACTGTGTGAGGCAGGATGTTGGACCCGACCATTGGTCTGATCCAGGGGTCATTTTGTAGAAAAAGACGTGCAGAAGCTCATTAGCATAACTCATTAGCATAACTTATTTGCATATGCCACACCCCCTGACATCACCAGAAGTGTGTCAGAAGGCAACACCCACCGCTCAGGCTCCACTGGACTGTTTTGGATCGCTAGCTATTGGGGGGGGGGAGAGAGAACGTGCAGAGCTTGTACCTGAATAAAACTTGATCTTAAAGGAGTCACTGGACTGTTTTGTACCGAAGGGAGCTCTGCAACTTACCCGGCTGCTTCTTGCTCTGACTGAGGGCTGCTGGGAGCAGAGGGCGGGGCTTGTTGCATGTGCCCGCCCCCTGGGCTCTTTACTGCTGGAGCTCCGCTCCTGTGCGCTCCTGCAGGAAATGACCCCTGGTCTGATCCAACATAGCTCTGTTCTTATATACAAGATTACCCCACTGGAGCACTAGTGATCTCGTTGAACTGTCCCCTCCAATCCACCCACTCCTCGCTGTAGCATCTGAGGTGGCTTCAGACGATACCGGATCCTTTCCAGATGTGTCGTGGCAATCATGAGGGTTAGAAACTTGATTTTCAAATGGCCCACAGTTCTTTGTGCTGAATGACCCTGCAGTGCTCATTCGGATTTCCGCGGTGCAGCTTTGAATATGAAGTCCGTGGGGCCACCGGGTGTGCGCCTCCGAGGTTGGAAAGTAGGGTTGCCAACTCAGGCTTGGGAGATTCCTGGAGATTTAGGGAAGGGAGGGGAAGGAGCTCGGCAGGGTATTATGCCCCAGAGTCCACCCTCCAAAGCAGCCATTTCTTGCCCAAGGGAACTGATCTCTGCAGGGCTTTTTTTTGTAGAAAAAGCCCAGCAGGAACGCGTTAGCATGATAGGCCACACCCAACACCAGAAACGCATTAGCATATTAGGCCACACCCCTGTCAGTATGGCCCATTAGCATATTAGGCCACACCCCATGCCTTCCCTTGGCTTGTCTGGGTGCCCCGCGGCTGCGGGGAGCCCAGGCAAGCCAGCCCTTGGACAGGCTGGAGAAGGCATGGGGAGGCAATTAAATGTCTTCCCGGGGGGAGGGTGTCGCTCTCCAGGCCTTCCCTCTGTAGCCAGGCACGCAGAGGTTTTGGCTGTAGTGGGCGTGGCCAACTCTGAAGCAAGCCGGAACTCCGTTCCTGTGCGTTCCTGCCCAGAAATAGCCCTGGATCTCTGTAAACGAGATCAGATGCAGGGGTCATTTGGGGGGGGGACGCAGGGGGACGCCATCCCCCCGGGTGAGGTGCGGGAGGGCGGGGCCTGGAGCTCCCTGCTGGTGCCCGCTGGAGGTCGCCGCCGGCTGTGGGGAGGACACACTTCCGGTGATGTCAGGGTGTGTGGCATATGCTAATGAGTTATGCTAATGAGTCCCCCTAGCTCTTTTTCTACGAAATGACCCCTGATCAGATGTAATCCTGGGAGATCTCCAAGCTCCACCTGAAGGTTGGCAATCTATTGAAAAGTGGAGGTTTCTTACAGAAGTGGGACAAGCACAGGACAAAACTGCTGTTTGGGAGTTCCTTTGGAAAATGGAAGGAGGGGAACGCCACTAACGCAGCTGCTGCAGTGTGGCGGATGTGGCTCAAAGGCCACCCGTGCCCCGCGTGCGACTCTTCCCTCTTGTTCTCAAACTGGGCAGAGGCATGAGAAAAGCCGGTTGGAATGGCATCTCTCGTCCTTTCCAACTGCCCCCCCGCCCCATAATCTTGCATTGGGGGTCAGCGTCCTGCTCCGGATCTTCTCTCTTCCATTTCCAAATGGCTGAGGCAACCTCCAGGCAGGCTGCGTAATCCCGTTGCGATATGTTCCCCAGCTGGAAGCGTGAGCCACACCCCGGGGAATGCCGTCTGGCCGGAGAGCCGGCTCTGGCGGCCCGCCGAGGGGGCCATTAGTGTCAGCTGGGCCGGCATGCACAAGCGTCCCCGGAGGACACGATGCACACTCTGCATGTTGAGTGGCGATGACTGATATGGCAGAGGAGGGCCGGCGAACACTGCCCTAGACCATGCGGCTTCCTGCACAGGTTTTTGGGAAGCTGATCCAACCAGCCAGCAAGAGAGTTTCCTGCATGGGGAAGGGGTGTCTTTTTAGCATTCCCCCCCAGTTTTTCCATTGGAAAAACCAGGAGGGGGGGGAGGCTTCAGGGCAAAAATGGGGGGGGGAATTCCCCGCCCCGTTTCTGCTTTTTCCCATGCTCTCACATCTCTGATCCCATGTCTAGGCTTGTCCCTTAAGTATGTATCTCCATTTCTTCTTTTTTCCCCCCAGCTTTGTTTTTATTACACTTTTTTCAAAGGTATAGTAAACAGCCAGTGTGGTTGTAGCTGTTAAAGAGTTGGATGAGGATCTGGTAGAAGAGAGAGAAGAGATTGGATTTATACCCCGCCCTTCACTACCCAAAGGTGTCTCAGAGCGGCTCACAAACTCCTTTCCCTTCCCCTCCCCACAACAGACACCCTGTGAGCAGTGTTCCCTCTAAGCTGTGGAGTCTTGTGAGCAAACATTCTGCTTTGGGGGCTACTGGCATGAAAGTTGTGAGCAAGCGATTTGGCTGCTGCATAAATCAGTTTGCTCTGGAGCTCTCCTTCCTGAGCTGAGATGAAAATGTGTGAGCCAGAGGCTAAAAAACAGTGAGCTAGCTCACACTAACTCAGCTTAGAGGGAACACTGCGTGTGGTAGGTGGGGCTGAGAGAGCTCTTGACAGGAACGGCTCTTTTTCAAGGACAGCTCTTGTCAGAGCTACGGCTTGCCCAAGGTCATCCAGCCAGGTGCAAGTGGAGGAGTGGGGAATCAAACCCGGCTCTCCCAGAGTAGAGTCCGCGCACTGAACCACGACACCAAACTGGCTCTCCTGTACAAGCCTCCATTTTGTCACAAAGCTCTCTGGGTAATCCGGGCCCGGTCGCTTTCTCTCAGCCAAGCCCAGACTAGATCGGTCTTGTCAGATCTCAGAAGCTAAGCGGGCTCAGCTCTGGCTAGCATTTGGGTGTGAGGCCGCCGAGGAAGTCCGGAGTCGCTATGCAGAGGCAGGCTATGGCAAACCACCTCTGAACGTCTCTTGACTTTAAACCCTACCCCGCAAAAAACCCTCCCTCGAGTGTTGATGTGTAGAGAAAATGGGGAAAGAAGAGCCCTGCGTGACTCCGCTCTGAGTCCCTTTGAAGAATGGCGGGATTTTAAAAAAGTGACTAGGTAGGCAACTCCTGCCCACCTAGCAGTTCGAAAGCAAGAAATTGCAAGTAGATAAATAGGTACCACTTCGGTGGGAAGGGAACAGCATTCCGTGCGCCTCGGTGTTTAGTCATGCCGGCCACATGACCACGGAAATGTCTTCGGACAGCGCTGGCTCTTCGGCTTTGAAACGGAGATGAGCACCGCAACCCTAGAGTCGGACTCGACTGGCTTTCGAGCAACGGAACCTTTACCTTTACCTTTTAGGTAGGCAGATAGATCTCTGGTCAGCAAGTTGCTGTTACTGGTAGGATGCTCTGAGGAAGGGGTGGTAGGCCAATTTATTTCATTATAACACTTCTTATCCCACCTTTTCTCATGGTTCAAGGTACGGTTCAGTTGGGGATGCCAGCCTCCAGGTGGAACCTGGAGATCCCCCAGAATCACAGCTTCTGGTAACATGGGGGTGCGGCCTAATAAGCTAATGAGCTGTGCCGTCAGGGGTGTGGCCTAATATGCTAATATGTTTCTGCTGTTGGGTGTGGCCTATTATGCTAACGAGTTCCTGCTGGTCTTTTTCTACAAAAAAGCCCTGGTGATAGCAATCCACCTCTCTGAAATGTCCTATCCCCACTAGGAGTCGCCAGAAGTCACCATGACTTCCCGGCTCAGAAGCCCATCCACACACGCACACACACAAAACACACACACGCGCACACACAAAAGCTTGGTCTTCATGTGTAGTAGGAACCAAGAGGTAAGAGGCGGTCAATATGGGAGTGATCAGGCTTCGAGAGTTCTGCTAACCCTGTCCACCTTTGCTTGCAGGACATGAAATCATGGCGCTGCGACCCGTGACTCTTTCTCTGTGAAGATGTCGTCCATGGACCCCCTGCCTCCGGCCACCCCTCCCTCCCAGAAGCCCGTGCGCATCATCAAACCTCGCCCGCCCACTCGGCCCCGGCCGTATTTGCCTCCCAGGCCAGACTCGAGCAAGCTGCTCCGCGGCCCCACTCCACCTTTGCCACCGGAGGGCTCTGTGGCCGAGCCAGCAAACGACGGGTGCCGCAAGGTCACCGAACCCCCCTGCAGCACCGAGCGGCAACTCCATATCCTGCAGAATTCGGGGGCCGTTCGGAAGATCGTGGTGCGCTTTGACCACGTGGGTCCAGAGAAGGACGAGGCCGACAAGCCAACTCGGCCGGCTGTGAATGGCAGCCAGATACCCGTCCCTGTGGCTGAGAATGGGGAAGGGGACTCGGTGGAGGAGAAAGAAGCACCGGGGCAGCTGGGTAAGTGAGCAGGGCGACAACGATCACGCCGTTCAGCTGTTGCGAGCCTTCTTGCCTTGGCCCATATGATGTTCTCTGGCCCGGTTGGCCTTGTTTGGCTTTGAGACCGGTGAACGCTCTGCCCTGGGGGAAAATCCCCTGAGGTTTCTGCACTGGGCAAAGCTCAGTCTGAAAACATTTGGTTATTTTTCATAATCTGTTTTTGTGGAGGCCAACAGCCTCCTGCCAGGCACTGAAGCGTCAGTCTTTGGTCTCTTGTCCATACACTTCAAAGCCACAAGGAGCCAGGGGGGCTAGAAACTTAAGCTATTTATTTATTTTGTTTGTTTGTTTATTAGATTTATACCCTGCCCTCCTCGCTGAGGCAGGTCAGGGTGGTTTACATATATATATATTTAAACAATTTAAAAACACATAAACTCTAAAGTTCTGTACATACATTCCTACGCAACAGCAATTGTAATCCGATGTTTTCATAACAGGAATCAGTTCGTACAGACATAGTAGACGGAAAAGATCCCAGGGAGGCTCCGATGTTATATCAAGATGTTAAATGTGGTCAAATGCCTGGTGGAAGAGCTCCGTCTTGCAGGCCCTGCGGAATCGAAGTAAATTCCGCAGGGAGCTCATTCCACCAGCATGGAGCTGCCACCGAAAAGGCCCTAGCCCTGGTGAGGGCCAGTTAGGCCTCTTTTTAAACGAAGGCTCAGATTCCTGGGATGCTGATTTCTTCAAAATGGTTTCATTGTTGGCTGTGATTGTGAAACAGCTGTTTTTTGCTTTATATAGGCTTTATTATCCTCAAGGTCCAGATAGGGTTGCCAGCCTCCAGGTGGGACCTGGAGATCTCCATGGAATTGCAACTTGTCTTCGGACCACGGAGATCAGTTCCTCTGGTTTAAATGGCTGCTCGGGAGGGTGGACTCTGTGGCATTATACCCAACTGAGGTCGCTTCTCCGAAACCTGCCCTCCCTAGGCCTCACCCCCAGATCTCCAGGAATTTCTCAACCCGGAGTTGGCAACCCTATCCCTTTGAGGGATACAATACAACCCCCCCCCCAGCTCCTTGTATCCTCTGCGTGGCCCCTCGTAATCCCTTTTCCTTTCAATTTTGGTCTTTCAACAGATTCCAGCGACGACACCCCGCTCTCCACATCGGGCGCGGTGGAGCAGAATGGCATAGAGTCCCCCCTTTCCTGCCCCTCGGCCTGCCCCTGTGTCTGCCACCAGCGGCGGCCGGGCATGGTCTTGACGTGGGTTCCGGCACATTCCCAGCAAGCCGAACAAGAGGACGCCGAGGAAGGGCCTGCCTCGGACCTCTCGTCCTCTGCCGACGAGGGAGGACCACCCTTCCGCCACTTCCTGGTGCTCAACCCCCCGCCTGCCAAGCCTCCCGCCAAAGGCGGCCGGGCCCCCAAATCCCACCGTTCTCCTCGGAGCAAGAAGCCCCCCGACCCACCGCTGTCAGCGAACGGGCACGCCGAGGGCAGTGTGGTGCTGACCGGGTACCGCTCCACGGCCGAGCCCCTGCCCCCACGCTGCCCCCCCTTGATGCCCAAGCCTCCCCGCCGCAGCAAGGGGGGGTCCCCCGCTTTTTTCGACAGTGAGCCCGTGCCCCCGGCCATCCCGCCCAAAGCCCCGGTGAAGCCGCCTCGCAGCTCCTTGGGGCCCCTTTCCTTTCCCCGCAGGGGTTCCCCTGAGTTCCCACTACCTTCTTCCCAGACCCCCCCACCTGTGCCCCTCCCTCATCAGCAGCCTCACCCGCTTCCTTCTTGCCCGCTTCCTGAAACCCCGACTCCCCCTCCGCCATCTCAGCCTCCTCCTCCGCTGCCTCAGGGGCTGCCCCCACCACCAACTCAGCCTCCGCCGCCCTTGGAGAACACGTCGGTGGAGGAACATCAGTGTCAAGGTAACAGCTACGCTCCAGGAGGGAAGGAAATGTCAGACGAAGGTGGATTGTGGCGGGAGTGCAGCAGTATCTCTCAGCAAGGTCTTACGATCCACACAAGATGACCACTTTTAGTTTTACCCGAAATTATATTAACGGAGACTGGAAAGCTGTACAGAGGCAGCCATATTTGGCTATCGGGAAAGAATTCCCTCCCCTTGATTAAATGGGTTGGGATATTTGCGACATTCCCTGTGGCTAAGTCTGTGGCTTGGCTCACTTGTTTGAGTTACCTAGTGTGTGTCACATTCAGAATGGGGGTAAAGGCGGAGGCTCGCTTATTGTTCGCAGAGCGTCGGTGATTCTTACCTTTTATTGTAAAAAGTGGACAACGTAAAGTCACCTCCATTCAGTTTTTCATTTTACTCGGTTTTGCTCTGGGCGGGATTAGACTATGTGTTCCCTGATTAGTCTTCTAAATGTGGGGACGGGGTTAAAGTGAGTGAGAGCATGACCCTGAACATCCACTACGGGGTAGAACAGACAAGTTGGGCAAATACCACCTGACACCTGCAAGCCCAGACTTTATCATTGCTTTCCTAGATATAGCCTTGGAATTATCCATCCAATCTGGGTGTATGGCATAACCTTTTGACTTATCATTGTACCTGAGTATGCTTGCTTCAGACTTTAAGCAGCTGCACAGATGTTTGGAGGTGCGATTGGCATGCTGGGTGGGTGGCAAGAACGGATCCACCCTTCTGCCCCCTCTTTACCCCTCAACATAGATAGGGGAGAAATTGGGGCACATTTTGTCTAATCCAGCCCTGATTCTGCGGAATTTCTCTCTCCAGGTGGCTGTGAAACGGACTGCCCGGATTCAAGTGAATCTAACACAGAGACCCAGAAGGACCGGTATGTTGGCACTCTCCCTCTTCCAGCCCCTACAAGTCTTGCAAGAAATTTTGTACCTATGTGAGCCCACCTCTCCAGTTTCTAGCGGCTAGCCGGATCCCGTCAGATCTCAGAAGCTAAACAGGGTCGGCCTTGGCTAGCATTTGGATGGGTGACCTCCAAGGAATACCAGGGGTGTGATGCAGAGGCAGGCAGTGGCAAAACCACCTCTGAAACATCGCTTGCCTTCAAAACAAATCTAGCTCGCCACCTAGTGGCGCATAACGCTAAAAGAGCTAGAACTTCTGGCTGCCAGACAATCTTAGGATCTCCTGGCTGTTCTACACATAGTGCCATAGGATAATTGATTACATTAATTCCAGTCTCTAATAATGCAGGAGCTATGGGGAGGGGTCAGGAGGGAAATAGTTGTAGCTGTCCTCTCCGCTTTCAGAGAAGGGCTTTGGTCATCTGGGCCCTTTCTCACCACAAGGACAACCGGGGGCCAAATTAGACGCAGCGGCCTCCTCATACCTGATGTGGGGGGGGACACTGCTGCCCTCTTAAAGCCCAAAATGGGGAACAAAAATGCTGCAAGGACCCAATTTGGACTGCAGTGCTTTGGGACAAGGTGCTACCGTCCCCCACCTTGGGCGTTTTCAAGGGTGGCTGTTCTGCTGTGCTGCAGCAGGGCATTTTCAGCTCATCTGAACTTTTACAATGGTGGCGGCACCCCCGTATCAGACACGACGATGCCATCATGTCTCCTTTTGCCCTAGGAGGACACAGATTCAGAGATTTCACTGATGCACATTAACGGTGCACGGAGGCACTATAAATAACACGCTGCGAGAGCCGTGAAAAGGTGCACAGTTAGAGAAAAGAGCGCTGGCTAGAAGCACAAAGAGAATGAATGAGCCCCTCCGCCCCGTCACCAGGTCTCAGCAGAGGATGATGTGGGCAGTGAAGGGGGGGGGGGATGCATTGCAAAGAGAGTCAAGTTTAAAACCTTTATTGGCATAGATCATAATCATAGTCGCCATTCAGTTCATGGATTTGACACACAGCTTCCTCATGATAAGGCAGTTACAGAACTTGGCAACCGCTTCAATAACCGCTATATTTTGTGAAGCCTATAAACGATACAATCTTCTGTCATCGGATTGCTTGGCATCATTCTTAAGAATATCTTCTAGATAGGCTTCCCGAATGTCATCATACAAGCTACAATAGCGGAATACATGTTCGATTGTTTCAATCTCCTCTGAATCACAATCACAGAACCTTACAGAGTAGGGGATTTTCTTAAATCTTCCTGCTAAAACCGCAGAAGGGAGCACATTAAATCGGGCCAGCATAAATGCTCTATGCAGCTGTGGGGAGGTTAGATCCGCTAAGTATTGTGCCGGGGCGTTAATCGGAAAACGTGCCCATCTTACAGGGGAACGTCTACCAGAAGCGAAAGCTCTAAGCTCTTGCATTTCAATATCAATTACTCTCTGTTTGATCAGAGCAAAGATGTGCAAAGAGAGTCATTGGAAAATTCAGGCAGCCTAGAAATTAAAGCACAGGCACATGAGCACTCTGCCGGGTGGCAACCTGCGGTTCCTCCGTTGTATCCGACTTGAAGGAGAAAGCTCCAAGAGGCCCATGAGTCACGTGGAAGCGCCCGTTCAGTTTGGGGCCTGCCTGCGTTCAAGGCTTCTGTGTGGAAGCCGGCTTTGAAGCGGGATTAAACCAACCCTTGAGCTGGCCCCGTTTTTTTGGCTGCTGGTTGGAGCTGCAGTGGCTCAGTGGTTAAGATGCTGAACTGCAGACCGGAAGGTCGGTAGTTCAGCAGTTCGAGACCCGAGTTCCGCATGACGGCGTGAGCTCCCGTCTCTGGCCCCAGCTCCTGTCGACCTAGCAGTTTGAAAGCAAGAAATTGCAAGTAGATAAATAGGTACTGCTTTGGTGGGAAGGTAACAGCGTTCCATGCACCTTGGCGTTTAGTCATGCCGGCCACATGACCACGGAAACGTCTTCGGACAGCTCTGGCTCTTCGGCTTGGAAACGGAGATGAGCACCGCCCCCTAGAGTCAGATTCGACTGGCTTTCGAGCAAGGGAACCTTTACCTTTTTAGGGCTGCTGGTTACTTACTGTTGCATTTGTTCTCTGTCTGTCGTAGACCGTCTTCGCTGGTGTCCCCGAAGGGGCCTGACTGGGGACTCTGCCTACAGGACGGTAAGTGGGAACTGGGAGCAGGCTAAGATCGGGCGGAAGAGGGGAACGCAGACTGAGACGTTCTGCTGCCGGAGGTGGAGCCCGAAACGTCGTCCCTCTCGACCATCCTGCCTAGGATTCCAAGTCTGCTTTGGGAGATTCCTGGAGATTTGGGGGATGGAACCTGAAGAGGGTTTGGGGAGGGGAGGGGCTCCGGGCGGGATAGAACACCATAGAATCTGCTCTGCAAAGCAGCCGTTCCCTCCAGGGGAATGGGTCTCGGACATCGGGAGATCAGTTGTGATTCCGGGAGGTCTCCGTGCCCCACCTGGAAGTTGGCATCCCCAGTTCTGCCAGCTGTCCCTTCCCCAGGGGTTCGCGTCCCCCCCAGCCAGCACACTTTCACCACCGCCTCTTCCTGTCTCTCCCCGCAAGAGCTTGGCCAGCAAAGCCTCCTTGCCCTCTCCTCCCCAGCCCTCTTTGGATCCATTGCAGGGAGCCACACAAACCCCAGAGCACTCCCCAAACTCTCGCAAGACTCCTTTTCTCGCACGAGAGTTCGGCAGTCATTTTAGTTGTCTGGGCAAACCTGCCGAGCACCGTGGTTCCTTAGGCAAAAGCCATGCCTAGCGGAACTGTTTTCAGAGAGCCCTGGGGGACAGAAGGCGAAGAGGACGTCACTGCCACCAGGGGTCGTTTCCTGCAGGAGCGCAGAGGAGCAGAGCTCCGGCAGTAAAGAGCCCAGGGGGCAGGCACATGCAACAAGCCCCACCCCCTGCTCCCAGCAGCCCTCAGTCAGAGCAGGAAGCAGCCAGGTAAGCTGCAGAGCTTCCCCCAGCCCCCCATCCAAAACAGTCCAGTGGCACCTTTAAGACCAAGTTTTATTCAGGGACAAGCTCTCCCTCCTCTGCGAGGACAGATCTGCATGTTCCCCCTCCCCCCCAATAGCTAGCAGTCCAAAACAGTCCAGTGGAGCCTGAGCGGTGGGTGTTGCCTTCTGACACACTTCCGGTGATGTCAGGGGGTGTGGCCTATGCAAATAAGTTATGCTAGTGAGCTCCCGCACCTCTTTTTCTACGAAATGACCCCTGTCTGCCACAGGAGGTGGTGGGGGCTACAAGCATGGACAGCTTCTAGAGGGAATTAGATAAGCACATGGAGCAGAGGCCCATCAGTGGCTATTAGCCACAAGGTATAGATAGGAACTCTCGGTCTGGGGCAAGGGATGCTCAGTATTCTTGGTGCTTGGGGGGGGGCAACAGTGAGAGGGCTCCTAGTGTCCTGGCCCCACTGATGGACCCCCTGATGGCCCCTGGTATTTCTGGCCACTGTGTGACACAGAGTGTTGGACTGGATGGGCCACTGGCCTGATCCAACAGTGGCTTCTCTTACGTTCTTATGACGGCTGGCAGAGGTGGAAACAGCAGCAGTGATCACAACTGAGGAGTAGATGGGAGAGGGTCTGGCCATGAGTGGGACGGGAGCAGGAGCATGCCGCTCCTTCCTAAAATGCCTTCCTTTGACGAGCACACAAAAGCCAGGTGTGCTGTCCAGCTGCAGTCGACTCATGGCAACTTCCCCCAAGAGAAGCAGAGGTGTTTTGCTGTTGTCTTCCTCTGCACAGAGACCTCTGTCTTCCCTGGCAGCCTCCCATCCAAGTAAGGTACTTGGAAAAGAGGTACTTCTCCCTTTCTCACAATACAAGAACTCGTGGGCACTCCATGAAACTGCTGAGCGGTCAGGTTAGAACGGATAAAAGGAAGTCCTTCTTCACCCAAAGAGTGACTAACACATGGGATTCACTGCCACAGGAGGTGGTGGTGGCTACACACATGGACGGCTTCAAGAGGGAATTATAGGCATGGACGGCTTCAAAAGGGAATTAGATAAGCATTTGGAGCAGAGGTCCATCAGTGGCTATTAGCCACAAGGTATAGATAGGGGCTCTGGGGCAAGTGATGCTCTGTCATCTTGGTGCTTGGGGGGGTCAACAGTGGGAGGGCTCCTAGTGTCCTGGCCCCACTGGTGGACCTCCTGATGGCACTGGTATTTCTGGCCACTGTGTGACACAGAGTGTTGGACTGGATGGGCCTTTGGCCTGATCCAACATTGGCGTCTCTTATGTTCTTATGTTCTTAAGTACCAGCCCTGCTTAGTTTCCAAGCCGTGACGAGCTCAGGCTAGTCTGGACTATTACGGCTGTTAATGATTACCATAGACTCCTCTTATACTGCCTTTGGGTATTCAGCTCGAAAAGGAACACTGTGTTTTAATGGTAAATCAAGAGCCCTGAAATAAGAAACGGGTGACCAGCAATGCTCCCTCTGAGCTGTGGAGTCTTGTGAGCAAAAATTCTACTTTGTGAGCCACTGGCATGAAATTTGTGAGCCAGCGATTTGGCCACTGCATAAATCAGTTTGCTCTGGAGCCCTCCTTCCTGAGCTAAGACAAAAGTCTGTGAGCCGGAGGCTAAAAGACTGTGAGCTAGCTCACACTGACTCAGCTTAGAGGGAACACAAGTCTGTGGCCTTCCCTACCTCAGCAATATCTGCCCTGCAGTGACAGATCGACAGTACTGCTAAAGCATCTCCCGGCTGCATTGGCTTTCTGGGGCCACTGTAAATTACCCTCATCTCTAGGTCCTGGGTTGGGCTTGATATAGCTTAGGGTCGCCAATCTCCAGGTGGGGCCTGAAGATCTGCTGGAATCCCAACTGATCTTCAGATTACAGAGGTCAGTTCTCTGGGAGACTAATAATAAAAATCATATGGCATTGTGTGCAGACTAGCCAGGAGATCCTAAGATTGTCTGGCACCCAGACGTTCTAGAGAGCCAGCTTGGTGTCATGGTGAAGTGCGCAGACTCTAATCTGGGAGAACCGGGTTTGATTCCCCACTCCTCCACTTGCACCTGCCTGGATGACCTTGGGCAAGCCGTATGTCTGATAAGAGCTGTCCTTGAAAAAGAGCCGTTTCTGTCAAGAGCTCTCTCAGCCCCACCTCCCTCACAGGGTGTCTGTTGTGGGGAGGGGAAGGAAAAGGAGTTTGTGAGCCGCTCTGAGACACCTTTGGGTAGTGAAGGGCGGGGTATAAATCTCTTCTTCTTCTTCTTCTTCTTCTTCTTCTTCTTCTTCTTCTTCTTCTTCTTCTTCTTCTTCTTCTTCTTCTTCTTCTTCTTCTTCTTCTTCTTCTTCTTCTTCTTTCTGTTTTAGTGTTATGTACCACTATGTGGCGAGCTAGGCTTGTTTTTAAGGCAAGAGACGTTTCAGAGGTGGTTTGCCATTGCCTGCAGTGTGTCTATAGCCAGGAGATCCAAAGATTGTCTGGCAGTCAGAAGCTCTCGCTCTTTTAGCATGATGCACCACTAGGTGGCGAGCTAAACTTGTTTTAAAGGCAAGAGACATTTCAGAAGCGGTTTGCTGTTGCCCGCCTCTGCGTTACACCCCTAGTATTCCTTGGACTAGTCGAGGCCTTCCAAAGACTAGCCAAGGCAGTCCTGCTTAGCTTCTGAGATCTGCTGGGGTCGGGCGAGCCTGGCCTATCCAGGACAGGGCAGAAGAAAAGAGATGCTTTGGAGGGCAAAAACCCTCTGGCTTTCTACCTCACTGAGGTCCCCCTCCCCTCCCGAAACACTACCTTCACCAGACTCCACCCCCAAATCTTCAGGACCGTCCCAGTCCAGAGTCGGCAGGCCTAGTCTCACCTCTGGAAAGCGCTGCCTTTCCTCTCTCTTTTATCTCAACCCTCCACCCGTGTCTTTCCCCCCCACCGCAGAGCCCTTGTATCAAACGTACCGCCAGGCCGTCATCTCCAAGGAGATCAAAAGGCAGACGGTCCCTCGCAACAGCAGCTTCAGCAGCTCGGATTATGGGGCCCCCTCCCCCGGCGAAGGTCCCTCCGGGCCTCGCGGCCCCATCCCTCACAGCACCCTATGGCAGGAGCTGCCGGCCGTGCGGGAGAGCGGCATGCTGGGAAACATGAGCTCTGAGGAGAGGAAGATGCAGGAGGTGAGTCACCCGGCAGGCACCACAATGGGGGTCCCTCTCTCTCCCCCCCCC